ATTTCATCTTGCATCATCTGAAACGTCCGACCCCATCTCCTAGTATCCTGAAATTCTTCCCTGATCACGTAGTGCATATCATCCTTCAGATTTATGCGCTCGTCCTCCAAAGAAATGGTGGGAAAATGTTCCGATGCGAACTCATCTTCTATGTCCACTTCCTTTCTGCTTATGGCTAGAACGCTGTTGTACACCCGGTACGGTAGTGCGGTGATGAATTTCAAGAGCTCACTTCTCTGCATCATGGGACATTCGTCTATACCGTCTATTATAATGATAATTCGAGGGTACATCTTAGCTACCGTTACAACGAGGTCCGTTAAATGTCTGACGTCTCGTGGTGGTCCATGTCCTTTGCAGACCTCCCAACGGTGGAAACCAGTTGGGTTTCCGCGGGGAAACTGCACTGCACCAACTACTTAGTTGTTCAAACTGCACTGCATGCTAAACCAGTGCAATAAACTGGTTGACAACTGGTTCAACTGTATATATTCGGTTCAACTATCTTAACTGGTTCGAACCAGTGTACAGTACTGCCATAAATTTTTCTTCGCCAGCTCTAACCCTTGCCCACGCTGTACATAGCACATTACTTTCAAACATATCTTCCTTACTCAAGGAAAGCCATGAAAATCCTGAACCTTGGGTGAAAATCTTGAGATTCCATGAAGAAACCATTGTGAACATACATTACAAATCGACCAGTGGCTATGCTATGCAAGTGGCGAGTGACTAACTATACATGAGTCTACATTGTGACTCAGATCATTAGCAACCTCTCTCCAGTCTATTCTAACAGCTTCGCTGGTCATCTGGAAACTCGTAGACCTTTCGGCCAAAATCCTGTGTCAACAAGAAGTGGAATGGGTAATGAGTGGCAAACTAACTAAGTGGATTTTGAACTTACAAACTGCACTACACTGCACTGTTCTCCTCCACCAACTGCACTGCACTGCTAAGAACCAACTACATACCGCACTGGTTAACTCTTTACAAGCAGTGCACTGGTTCAACCGTTGGGAGGTCTGGTCCTTTATCCATTTTTTTCAACTAGATCAGTAGCAGGCTTTTCATCAACCACACTGCAATTCAAGCCGCAAAGAAGTTGAGCCAAAATCGTTCTAATAATATTGAGAGGAAGCTTCATTTCTTCCCGATTGTACTGACAATAAAAATAGGCAAAGCCGCACCGATACCCCTGCTGAATAGCCTTTTCTTGCCGCTCGATTATTGAAGATGCTAAGATTGTTTTTCCACTTCCTGGAATTCCGTGCATCCAAAGTCTTGATGACATCGAAGCCTCCCATTTCTGGAAAATCTGTTTCTCGAATAGCCATGAGCCAGCACCCCCATTGCGATTCTCCAACGATTCTTCGTGTCGAATGTTTTAGTGTAGTGGTGCCAGCCACTTAACGAGTTCCTTCATTTTCTTTTGTTGGGCTTCAATTTTCTTCTTCTGTCTGTTTTCCTGTTGTTTGATCCACTTTTGCCTGGCATCCAACTGGACGTTTTGCACACTCGTCTTCACCTCTTGCACTCCCGTCCTCACATCTTGCACTCCAGTTTCTACTCCGCTGACATCCCTCTTTAGCTAAACTGCCATCGACCTCAACCATCGTCAGCGCAACTGGTTGTAATAAAGAGGGGTGTATGGTTACGCAATGTCGACCTGTAGTGCCCGATTAAATACATGTTGATAGGTGCTCAGCTGTGTAGTGAACTCTACTATCATCGACTCTTTCATGGGCCACTTTAGTCGTCTTCCGAACCTCTCCCTCCATTTATTCGCTGAATGGCATTCTAAATCATCCATAATAGCCCGAAGCGTGGTATCACAGTCATCCAGAGCCGTAGACAGCCGTGAGATGCGCGGTGGAGGGTCTCCAGCAGTCTGGACCGCCGCATTCAGATCGTTAGGTATTCCACGGAGTCCCTGAGGTGATTCCTTCACAGCGTCTAGTCCCTTCTGGAGCTTTGCGACCGTCTCCGGATACCCCCTGGCGGATTTTGTGTATCTGTAAACTTTTTCGCCAGCTTTTACAGCTATTCCGAGCGCTTCCAGAGCCATGGTTTGAGAAAGCAACGGCGACTCTCAAAGAGTTATAGCAATTAGGGTTGAAATATTTAAAGCACGGCCGATTCCTCCAGGGTCTCGGCACATCTGTGATGCTGTGATGCTATCTACCGCATTATTTGCTGCCGCATGTCGGTCTGTCATGTATGTCAGCAGCTCACCCCCCTCTCAAGAGGCGTGAGAAATATAGGTATTAGAACGTAGGCCCCGGCAAATCCAAAATTCACGTTCGAGAATTCTCAATTAAAAGTGCGATCGACTGTAGATCTATCAGCAGTTGTGTGGTCAAGAGTGAGAATTCTCACTTAGATTTGCCCGTGGCCAACGGTCTCTATTAGACCAGTCCTACCACCTCAAAATTGCAACTTTCTCACTGTGTCTTGAATCTTGGTGGTAGTTTTACATGGTAAAGTTGGTTGGACATAGTTAATCTCCTTAATAAATTCTCGACGCCTCGAGTCGAGGTCTTAGCACACCAAATATAAATGTCAGCTGCAATACACTTCTCGGTACACGGCAGTATAGAGACGCTGCAGTTCGGCGCGGTACTGAGTGGTCAAGGTCGTTGCTTTATGAGCTCCCTAAAACAGACAAAAATCCGTTAGAATAAACTAGCAGAATTTAGTGTCCAACTAGACTTTACTAGTACTCCCATTGGTGTGGACACCCAAATCAACCTGTACCGACTGAACCTGTACGGCATGTGTCGACTCCAGAACCAGTACACCGTTACACGATACAGAGCGATACCTGTCGTTACTATAACGGTGTAACCCCCCTCCATATCGCTCCATACCAAGAAGTGTGAGCGCCCTAATGACACAGGATGTCCAACCTCCAGCACCCCAAACCTTCAACACTCCACACCTGCAATTGACATATTGACATGTTAGCAACAGCAAACGAACCGAGAAATCTCGATCGCAGTCACACGCCGCTCAAAGGACCGAGAGCAAATGCTTCATGTTTCTCAAGGGACGGGGTGTACTTAGGCGGTCAAAAAGTTTTGCCACAAGTTGAAACAAATTTGTATGCGGATCCATCAATCCTTATGCCATAACTTTTGACCGCCTAAGTACGTACAGACGACTAGCAATGAACTCTAGCAGTATCCTCGAAAGACGCTTGGTGCCTAGACAGCCCGTGCCCGAACTGTTTATTGCTCATGGTGCTGGAGAGGAGATGGAAGTTTGCGGTTTAGGACGCTAAAATTGGCCTGGACACCTCAGCTTTCTGCACTTCCAGTTGACCAAGGCGATGCGGGACTGCCCCGGAGATCTGGCAAACTCTTATCAACGGCGGGTATGATTCGTGCAATTTTCACCCCTCGGTGGCGAGCATGCATACAGCGGATCTCCGTTACTTCTTTAATTCAGCAGCCACCTGTCACCTACCTCTGCCACATTCATGGGTTCTTATGCTGCGGAACGACAAGCGGATTCTTTATGATTAGTGGCGACTAGGACTTTTACTTAATAGTATTGCACACGAGACGAGTCAGCCCGGGTACTCGGCCCGGGATTCAAGACGAGACGAGATATCCCGGGCTTTTCCTTGATCGCCCGAGTACTCGTGAGTGATGATATATGACGTATGCGTGCGATCCCAAGCGGTTCGTTCCTTCATTCTGAGCGGATTTTAAGGGTGTTACACTGCTACACCTCTCTTGGGATTTTACTTTTCAAACTCAACTGCATGGAATTGGATGTGGAATAGTAGCAGTGGCCGACCTTGTTCCACGTGGAGGATACCCTTGGTGGTGTGGAGGAGGGGCACATGCAATTAATGCATAAACATATGCAGTTCTTCCCCATATTGGAACAAAATGATGAGGCGCATGGAAAGCGAAACTCGAGGATGATGGGAGGAGGGTGAGAGGTTAGACTGGCTAACGGTAGTTATTGAGAGCTGGACGAACTATTGAAGGATGCTACATTTATCTATTGATGTATACCCTCCTTTCTTCTAGCCTCCATGGAGCTTGGTCACTAGTTTTTGCTATGCATTTCCTTTCTTTAACCATGCGTTTGTGTTTCCGGATGTTCTCACCGAGAGAGTGACATGGATCTAGAAAGAGGAGGAGGCGAACCAGCCCTCCTCTCTAAACCCAAAGCCCCCTCAACACCGTCTCCCCCCTCCTCCACCTTCACCCACTCAAACTCTTCCTCCACAACCTTGCCCCCAACACTCAGGATTACTCCTGTCCTCCTTCAGCAACGTATCATAACCTCTCAACCCCCAAACTTCTCCTCCATGCTCAACGCCAGCAAATCCATCCCCGTCTCGTCCGCCCTCCTCATACTCGGGAACACATACCTCAACAATGGCTGCAACGGGTTCAGCACATACCCGATCATCAGCTTCCACATCCGCGGATTCTGCTCCCCGTGAGCTCGTATCCATCATCTGTAGTTTCTGGCTCCGGCGAATTTTAGCGTCCAAGGATTAGGGGGAGGGAGAGGGGGAGGGAAGCGATTTTATGAGGTGAAGGACGCGAACGGAGGAGATGGAGTGGGTTTGGATGTGCGGGGAGGGAAGTGCCGGACGCTGAGGATTATGTGATGCGTTGGTGGATAGGAAGTAATCTGAGGAAACAGGAGCTGGCGGTGAGAGGATTGTGCCGAAGGTTATGAGCAAATGGGGAAGATAGCATGCGGTATGTATGAGCTTGCAGAAACGGCGGCATACCCTGTGCCTACGCGTCCGCTTGGGCACAGATAATATAGTTGAAGGAAGCCAAAGGATATTTCTTTCGAGCACCCCTTTCTTAATTGTGGTGGATATCATTCGATCCCTTTACTGGGTAGGTTACTTCTGAGCTTCTGACCAAAACTCGCTGGTGAAAGTTGAAGAGGGTTCACTTTTTCTGGGATATATATACCTAGGTTTGTAGTAAAAAAGCCTGAACAGAGGATAAAAGAATTGATTCCGATACCGGGAATCGAACCCGGGTCTAGTCGGCTCTATAACAGAAGCTCTGAAATGAAAGCGACCAATGCTAACCCCTACACCATATCGGATTGGCAACGGAGGGTAAATTAGTATACAAATAGACTATTTAAAAATGGTATAACAATTCAGGGTTCTGAGACTAAAAAGAGGGGGTGTACGCGTTCTTCTAACATCTGAAGTACATTTCAAACAGCAAAAAGGGGTATGTCCTTAATTATTATATCCAAGAAAAATATCATAGTTATGTTCAAGCCATATGCAAAGAAACTCAACGCCCGTTATGAATTCCAACGCTCGCTAAGTGTGTTCCAACTTTTCCATCCTACACTCGTGCTCTCCTTCGCAAGATCAGTCAGTAATGTAGAGACCCTACTTGGTACCCGTCCCTTCCTCCTGTTCACACCCATTACACCAAGCCTTTGCGCACGTCTCACACGCACTAGCCTCCTCTTCGTTGTCACCATGCTCCATCAGCTCTCTCGTCAACCTATCCATCTCCGCCTCCAACCTTTCCTGCGCCCTAGCCTCATCCCCTCTTCTCCTCTCCCTCTTCGCAATCTCCATAACATCACTCCCCTCCAACTCCTTAACCTTCCGTTTCAGCGCCTCAACTTCATTCTCCTCCTCATCCGGCTCCAGCAAAACACTCCACCAACTCCCCCATCTATCTCCAGCAACAGGATCCACATCTCCAATCGCCTCACGATCCAACCCACTCGGCCACAAAATCGTTGGCGTTTCTGGATCCCGTAGGGGTGTTTTTCTCAGAAGACAATCGATAACGCCGCATTCGAGGTCCGGGCACAACAGTAGCTGTACTGTTGACCACCGGATAAACCCATGGACTGTAAGTGCAGGGTAAAAGCCGTCTGGGAACTTGTTGGGGGTGTCACCGGGAACCCAGTAGTAGCGACAGTCGAGCCAGGACCAGAGTCTTGCGAGGCCTCGGGCGGTGGCGGCACGGAGATATGCGGAGCGGTGGTCGAGACTAGGGTGCGGGCTGAAGGTCGCGTAGTAGTGTTCTAGTTTCTCGCGGGTCACAACCGCTTCGGCTTCTGGGGGGAGGGTGCTGAGGAACTCGCCGATGCTGCGAAGGAGGCGTTGGAGTTTTGGCGTGCCCTCGGGTGGGAGGGAGGTGGAGACGGGGTGGTGGAAGAGGAAGCCCCATGGGGAGGAGTTGGAGTGGAGGGATCGCGAGGAGGAGGTGGGGGAGTTTGGGGAGAGGAGGTTTGGTATTGGGGAGGTTGGGGTGTGTTGCGGTGATGAGAGTGGGGAGGCCCGTTTGGGAATAGGACGTCGCACGATAGACGGGTTCTCGTGGATTGTGGGTTCGGAGGCGTGGCGGCGCGCTGGTGGTCGGTATTGAATCCCGTTCATGCGAAAGGTGGTGTGTGTCGCCATTGATGAGCTGCGGTGAACATCGGTGCGATGCTTGCCTGGGTTCAATGGCTGCATCGCGGGGTCGGAATATTGATGTTCTTGCGGCGGGGAGTTGTAGGCGATATAGACAGGGTGGGGCTGCGGGTAGGGCGATGTTGCGGATTGCGGTGGTTGGTAGTAGCCACCCGGTGGGTATTGCGGGTGAAGGTAAGACTGCGGGGAGTCTGTGACGTGGGGTGGATACTCTTCGGAGGGCGAGCTCAGCCATACTTGCTGCGGGTACGGATGCTGGGTCGGGGATTGCGGCTGCTGCTGGTGCTGGTGCTGGTGGTGGTGATGGTGCTGGTTATACGGATACATGGTGGGCTGGACTGGCGATAAGGTGTAGAGTTGCGAAAGGTTGATTTATATCGGAAGCGTTGTATGCAGCCAAGCTTAGGCTGATGTGTAACGAGTAGCTTCTACACTTCAGCGCTGTGTTGGTGTGGTACGGTGGTGATGGTGTAGCGTGTAGCTATTGCGCTGGATGTGCATGCGCAGTTCGATAGGCTAAGCCTAGGAATCACCGTATCCAGTCTTGTCGATAACGATCTCTAGAAGCGAGAGAAAGAGTTGATCGCCTATGCAATGGAGATCCTCCTCCAGCTGCATGTTATCCACGCCCTGTCGCCGCTGCTACTACAGAATAGAATGTGCTTGAGTGAGGATGTGTGTTTGTTGTGGATGGTTGTGCAGCTGTGTTGTTGCTATTAAGGGGACGGTACTTAGGCGGTAATTTCACCTGCATCAATGCTGGAGATCATGGATTATGATCAAAATAAGAAGCATTGGACTCTGACATGCGCAGAGGCAATGAGAAGAGCATTCTTTTTGTCGATCGTGCATTTCAGACATTTTGGCTCGGGCCTTATCGTACAGTATGAGCTCTCGGTTTCCCCCCCGCCAACGGTCTAACCAACGGAAGCCTTACCGTTTCGACCACAACTGTATTTTGTAGAACACAGCTTAAGCTCAGAACATATCATCGCCCTCTTCTCCTTCCTCCTCCTCCTCCCCCTCTACCTTTCCCCATCTCGAGATTGCAGCAGGGCCCTCTATCGTTACAGAGCTCCACGTACCACAACGGTACCTGATGTCCCGCCACATGACCTCAACCTAACCATGGCCAGCTCTTCAACGACAATGACTACGCAGCAACCACCTCCCCCTCCATCGCCCCCTCCTCCATCGCCACCTCCACCCCCGCCCATGTCAGTCCTGGATCCCTCTGTTCTCCACGCCTCTAAGCGAAAGCGCACTGGGAATCTCGTCCTTCAGGACTATCCCGTCAACGTTCCAAACTCTCCCGTCGTCTCCTTCTTTGGCTTCTCGGTTGAAGCTATTTCGACCCAGCTATCATCACAAGTCGTGACGACCCCTCCAGACGCAGCACGATCCTCAACGACTGGCCCTCATACGCGCTCACATTGCCCCTCGCCTGAAGCACCCGGCCAGCTCCCATCATTATCTTGGTCGTTTCTTGCACACCCGGTTCTCCCACACTTGCGAAAATGGCCCGGTCTTCCTCTGGCGCCCCTGACTACGACACCCACCGACGGTTCGACACCCGAGTCACAGTCAGAACCTCCATCGTCACCGGAGGCTACGGAAGTAGCTCCACCATCTCTACCGCTTAAGCTCCTCAGTCTCCTCGACATACCACCAGTTGCATCCTCCCTTGCCTCACACCTCTACGGCCATGACCTCCTCAACCTCCGTCTTCTTAACTCCACCTTTCACGGGCTCCTCTCCTCCGAGACGTCCGACACCGGCGAGCGACCATACTACCACACGCTACTCCTCAAGTCATTGCTCTGCCCTCGACAAGATACTATCTCGGAGCCCGCCGGCGTCTCCTGCAAGAGCGCCGGCGGCAATGTGGGGCCGTGCGTTCTATGCTCCGAGACGATCTGCACCGTATACATCCCCCCTCTCACTTCTCCGCACTTACCGCAACTGATAATCTTTCAAACAGACCTGCGTCTCCCCTGAAATCTGGACCGTGAAGCGCTACCGCTACATCTGCCCTCCTTGCTGCGGGCCCTCCAACGACCCCACCTGCCGTTGCCAAGACGCCCTCTGGCTCTGCAGACGCTGCTATAAAACACACTGGCTAGCGGACCTGGAGTACGATGCGGGCGGCTGGTTCACCAATCACGCCGTTACATGCGGTCTCTGCAATGCAGTGCACACGCATAAAACCGACGCGCGCTTACCCGAGCCAACAAGCTATCTCCGTGGGAAGAAGATGGAATTTAAGGAGTGGTTTGTTCGGGTGAAACCGGTAGCTGGGACGAAGGGGGAGGAACAGAGACGTCCCGTGGGGTGTTCGTGGTGTCGAAAACGTGTGGACCCCAAGCAGGAGGAGTGGACTCTACGACCTGTGGCGATCCGTAGGGGTGAAGAGAAAGGGAGGGTGTGGATTCGTGAGCTAGAACGGAGACGGAGGGAGCGTGAACGGGAGGGGAGAGAGAACGAAGAGGAAGAGGAGGACCAACAACCGGCGGGTAATTAGATGGAGTTGGGAGGTCTTTTTGTATCGATGCTGTTTGGTTTGGGTTGGGATAGGATAGGTTATTTGGCGTTGCGGAATGGGTTTGATTGTTTGATTAAGATGGCGTAGCACTTTTTGAGTGCCTTATACTACTACACGACAGAACATTTGTTTAGCCAAAAGAGTATAAAAATCCGATATGGTGTAGGGGTTAGCATTGGTCGCTTTCACTGTTCATGAGATGTGCCGACTAGACCCGGGTTCGATTCCCGGTATCGGAATAAAATCTATTTTTTTGCATTTAGATTCTGCAGTCTTAGTTTTGTGGTGTGTAAGTTTATCGAACTAACCAAGTCTTATATGCCGTCAAAATGGAGGCTACAGCCCTACTCTAGAAGAACATAGCTTGGTGAACCTTATGACTAGCTATGATACAAGAATGGGATAGCGAGGTTATCATTCTCAGACGAACCCCCACACGCAGTAGCAGCGAAGTTGCATTTCTCAAAAGAAGAGTGCTCCCGTCTAATTAAGACAATTTGCGGGTTTGTAGTTTTGGAGGGGAACGAGGGTTGTGATGGGGTGTATGGTTTTTGTGAACTCTATCATAGTAGTGATGATACCGGCAATTTCACGGTGCGGGGAATTTGCATGATATACCTACCATGATATCTGATATTTATGTTTTGATAGTTTGCGTTCTAGACGGTAAAAGTGTTATCGTGTACCAGACTTTCGCCCAGCGAAGAGAAAAGCAACGCAGGGTCTAGCAGGCGAGATCACGGTAAAGGTACGTTTATATTATCATATGATATCAAAGTATAACTAACCGTAGGGATTCAGTTTTATCAGTTGAAATCTAGATTCGCGGAGTCAAAAATCTAAAAGAATCCATTACGTGTACTGTCCTCCTTATCTCGCATTGTGCATCGATGGTGACTACCCATACCGTCAATTAAGGAAACGAAAATGGATGAAGGATTCTACTTCGACACCACCCACAGTGCTCATAAAAAAAAACAGTTTAGAGTTTTCTAAAAGGACGCCAACCGTATGTACCCACTCATGTGATCCATTGACTGCTTATAGAGAGTGTACATATATACCTTTTTCTGCCCTTGGGATTTAAGTTTTCTACAGTCATCACCAGAAGTTGTGGAACTATATAATCAATGTAATGTTGTGGACGATGCGAATGTTGGTGTTGGTCTGATTGTCCCTGATGTAAGCGGTATTTAGAGTAGGAAATGTTGGGATTTATAGCATGGGCTCGGGGTATGAAACCGATTGTACCGATGGCTATGCATATCTCTTTTATGAGAATTCGAATGTTGGACCCGAATATATATGTTCCATAGGTGAGAAACCCGTGACGTCTCGCAGCCTAGAGCATGCATATGCATACTAGGTCGCGATCTAGGGACGGTTTGCATCTCGGAAGTCCATCTGCGACCCATCCTGGTGATATCTTGCACCCCCATATATGATGGTTGCAAGTACCCAAACAAACTCCATTTTTGTTTGTTTGCGCTGGCTCATACAGTTGGGGATCGTAATAATACATCCAGATAATACGGTGCTTTCGGTCATGCCAAATATTCCTAATACTTGAGTGTCGACATGTCCATGAAGAGAACCCATCTGACCGGATAATATCAACGCCCCTCGGATTGGAATACGTCAGAGTGCATACCTGTGTTACAAAACATGGGTTTACAGTGCAGCTTCAGGGCCGTTTCCGCCGCGGATGGCCTCAGAAAATGGACAGCAGTCGAGTAATCGAGTCTTCAGGCCACTAGTCTACTTTAAGTGGATTATCCTGTAGCAGAAGCTGCTTGCGTATGTGACCGTGAGTAGAGTACCTAATCCCTGGACACTAAAAGACAACGCCTCATAAAAGAAATAATCCGTGGACCCGGGATTACTCTAAATGCTTCTGATATCACTCGGTCCCTAACGACCCCGCATGTTGCAATAATGAGGGGAGAACCGTGTGTATAGATTAAGATACTAAGTGTAAAGAGAGAAAGAAGGAGAAAGACTTCGAGATATATACAAGATAGTTGTGTGCCTTATGCCTTACCATCAAGTCAACTCATGTCAGGTCTATTTATGCAACACCGCATTTGGAATAACACCGGTTTAATATAATATCATTACCTTGTATATGATATGCACATAATATAGATATACAACAGATACAGGAATGAATGTAGTAGTTTGCCTATACTGTATCCCACGTATCCTACCATACGTTGTTAAGCGCTTATTTTTTGTTCACTTAGGCCTGCCATAGAAGGCTGCATCATCTATGAGTTAGTATCCGTTCACCCCATCCAAGAATATCTATTAATAGCTATGGCTAAGGAAATATTCCACATAAGAATGAGCTGAATCGTGAGTCCCTTTGATAATCATGCGATCGATGTTGACTCTCCAAAGACTTTCAGTTGTGCTGTTCGCATCGAGAGTTGCCTCGATACCAGCAATAGTGGACTTGGGATATACTCGATACCACGGCACAACTCTTGATATTGGAGTAAACCAGTATCTGGGCATGAGGTTTGCCGCGCCGCCCATTGGCGATTTACGGTTTCGAGCTCCCGCAGATCCGGAAAAGACATTGGATATACAAGATGCAACTTCAGTACCATTCCTACCTTGTTATTGCTTTGTTTACAAAGAAGTAGCTGACACTAATTTGTTCAGTTCGGTCCGGTATGCTTGGGCGAAGGAATTCCATACCCCAGCCTTACCGAGTCCGAAGATTGCTTGTTTATAAACGTCTTCACACCGTCAAATGCCACGGTGGATTCGAAGCTGCCAGTGTGGTTTTTTATTCAAGGGGGTGGATATAATCTAAATTTCAACGCCAATTACAATGGGACGGAGGTTATCCACAAGTCTGGGGATAACATCGTGTTTGTAAATTTCAACTATCGCGTGGCAGCATACGGGTTTTTGGCGAGCGAGAAGATCAGGAAAGATGGAGATTTGAACGCAGGATTGCTAGATATGAGAAAGGCACTCTTATGGGTGCAGAAGTATATCCATCTTGTAAGTTTTACCCTGTTAGTGAGACCAGGGATATGGACTGATTGCCTTAAGTTCGGAGGAGACCCAAAACACGTCGTTATACACGGGGATTCTGCCGGAGCAGGGGCTGTTGCGATGTTTCTTCTTGCCTATGGTGGTCGAAACGATGGACTTTTCCATGGCGGAATTGGAACTTCGCCTTTCTTCCCTATACAACCTAAGGTTAAAGACCTGGAATGGCAGTTCGATCGGTTTTCTATTGCGGCTGGCTGTGGTAATGAAACGGATCAACTCCGATGTCTGCGCTCCAAAGATACCGCCACTTTACAAGCTGCCAACCTGGGGTCGCCTTATCCCGGCCGCAGCATCCGGCCCCTCTGGTACTTCACGCCAACTGTCGATGGTGATTTTCTTCAAGACTATCCATACCGTCTATTCGCGCAAGGGAAATTCGTTAAGGTCCCCACGATCTGGGGAGATGAAACGGATGAAGGATCTTACTTCGGCGCCAACGCTACCTCTCCTACAGAAGTAACCGAGTTCATGACAAACAACTTTCCAAAGCTTTCAGAAAATGACGCCAAGATCATCGATAAACTGTATCCGCTCATGTCGCCTGTTCCTCATCACAACGCCTATTTCCCCTCAGCCTCGGCTGCCTATGGAGAGTGTGCCTTAATTTGCCCTGGACTTTATGTTTCAACAGTCCTTGCGAGACATCAGAAGTTGTGGAACTATCGGTGTAATATTGTGGATGATGCGAATGTAGCTGCTGGTCTGGGTGTCCCTCATGTATGGGTCCTTCCTGCGATATTTGGAGTGGGAAATCTTGGGACTTATGGCGTAGGCTCAGAGTATGAAACTTATAACGCGCCAATTGTGCCGGTGGTTATGAATTATTTCATCTCTTTTGTGAGAATGTTGGACCCGAATACACTAAAGTATCCGGGAGCACCGAATTGGGAGGGATTTAAAGAGGGACATAGAAGGTTGATGATGCAGACAAATGCAACGAAGATGGAGAGCATTCTAAAACAACAGAGTGAGAGGTGTCGGTATTGGACGGAGGTGGGCGTGAAGTTGGAACAGTAGATGTTTCGGGCCGGGAGTGGGGCAAAAACAATTACCTCTGTAAATGAAATCGTCGTATTATCATCGTACCATGCAAGTGAATTACATGTACATCGATCACTATCGCCAAGATTTCGACTTGGTGTTGAGTACTCTGCTCGTAGATTCGAGCAAGGAACAGTCACTTTTGGCTCCAAATGAAGTCATAACATGATTTTATTTTTGTAAAAAATCTATCCAAAAAACCCGTCCCTTCCCTTTACATCTACGATACGACCGATACACCATTTGGTAGGGAAATATAAGTCTCAAAATAAAACCTGTCAATGTCAAGAAACCGCTTTGCCAACTCCGCATGACGCTTCCGCTTGTGAATCCGCATATTCCTCCACCAATCTCCCGCACCCAATTTGCTGGCACCGTGATCGATCAAAAGTTGCGCTACGGCCTCACGACCATTGGCTACTGCGGCGATCAAGGCAGTGCCGTAACCACCTCCGACGGCATTAAAGTCTGCCCCATTATCGATGAGCAGGGCTACCGTCTGGACTGAGCCTTTCACGGCAGCTGCTTGGAGAGAATATCCGAAACGTCCGCCTTTTTGATTAACGTTTGCTCCTTTTGCGACCAACTTCTTCGCGACATCATCGTATCCACCAAGTGCGGCAGCAGTCAGGGGACAACCAAATCGTCCACCTGGGGTATTAACGTCTGCGCCATTCTCCAAAAGCATGTCAATAAGTGCTGGGTTGAAACGCCGCGGGTCGGCCATTGCTGCCGTCAGTGGAGTTCCATATCGTTTATGCCGGAGGTTTACATCGGCGCCGTGCTTGATCAGTAATTCTGCAATATCGATATGTCCTTCATTGGCAGCGGCATGAAGCGCAAATCCCCATTTGCCCCCACCGATGTTAGGATTGGCGCCATGTTCGAGGAACAGACGCACCATATCCGTCTGTCCCATAATAGCAGCCCTCGCGAGCGGAGAATTCAAATCCGAGGCACTACTAGTTGCGTTGACATCGCAGCCCTTTTCGAGGAGATAGGTTACCAACTCCAATGGGCCGCCGACACAGGCCTGCAGAGCATTGTCGAACTTGCCACCCTGAGCATTGACATCTGCTCCTCTGTCAACCAACTCGTGAATGAATTGTATCAAGCTTGCCAGATCCTC